AAGGCTGAGTCAACCTTGAGCCGGTGAGATTTGAACAGCCGAACTGCAGAACTGCAGTCAGCTGAAGTAGCCTGCAGTAGCCTGCAGTGCTGCACTGCGCCACCTCGGCTCCCTCTCCTCTTTGTGGCTGCCCCCCAATTACTGGAAGACTATCTGCTATCATGTTAACCTGATGCCTTTCCATGGTGGTAATTGCAATTCCCATCATCCCCAGCCACTGGCTGCGGAAGACAAGACGGGGCAAGGCTTCCAAAATCTGAAATGAGATGGCAGGAAGAAGGGAATTATAAATGTTAAAGGATAATGTATAACGCTAATATTATCTATGAGATATGTATATTTGTGAAATGTACGTATGTACGTATATGAGTAAGAAAAATAAAAATATCACCAAATATTTGAAATGCAACCCATTGGCAGATTATTTCAGAGGTGTGGTCCATTGGCCATCGAGTCTATGGAAAATTGCCTGCAATGGAACTACAGCCCCCAGCAGCACTCGCGAAGAGGTCGCGCGGGACTGTTCTCTGGCTTCGATTGCTTCTGTCTCTGCGCAAGGCCGCGAGAAGCGAAAGCTTGGATCGGCCGTCCGGGTCTCCTCTGCCGGTCACGTGGTGCCGCCAGGCGGTCGAGACGACCCACGGCACTCTATGGTCATCCGGCCCTTCCCCTCGCGCCTCGCAACAAGCGCGCCTCCTATTGGCTATAGCGGAGTTAGGGCGAAGCCGATTGGCCCGTGAGGGTGAAACGCCGCTAGTCGCGGTGCCTTGAGGCGGCTGAGGTGGGCTCCGCCGGTCGGCCGTTAAGGGGACGCGGGGCGAGCCCAGGCCCAGGCCCGGGGCGGCGGGGAGCATGTCTGCCGCCGACGGAGAAGGCTGGGACGGCAACGGACAGCGCGGAGGAGGCAGCGGCGACGGGCCGGCCGCTCAGGCCCCGTCCGGGGGGCTCCTCAATCGCTTCGTCCGCCTCCCGCCCGGCCCCGGACGCGTCGGTGAGTCAAAGGGAGGCCCCAGGTCACGGGAAGGCCCTTCCTGGCTCCCTCGGCCTCTTTTCTTCCTAGGCCTCGCACAACACCCCTGCGAGGTAAGCCGGGCTGGGCGTGAGCGGCCTAGAGTCCTTCCCGGCCAGTGGGAATATCCGACTCTCCTTTGGCCTCCGTCCTCCCGCGGGGCCCCGTGAAGGCTGCTCAGGCGTCCTGGAGGAGGAAAACATGGGCGGGGAGTGGAGCTTCCTTGGCCAGGGGCACTTTATCTGGGAAGGACGCCCCCTTGAGGAGGGGCAGGGAGACAGGGCAGCTTTAAAAGTTTGGGGGGGGGTTTAAAGAGTTGGGACTGCAAGTGTGATGGTTCTCAGGAAGGGGGAGTGGCGGCCAGTCCTTTCTAGGGTTGGGGTCTGGATGGGGGACCACCAGGAAATCCTTGGGGGGGTGGGAATCCTTGGTGGGCTCTGAGATTTGGAGGGGGGGTTTGCAGGCGTTTCATGACCCAACTAGGGGACATCATCAGTGCTAGGAAGGAGGGTGGCTTGTTGAATGGAGGAGGAGAAGGGGAGGAAAAAGAAGAGAAGAAAAAAGGGGAGGACTGTGGGGGTGTCCTTGGTGGTCTCTAAGCTTGATGGTTTCCTTGCAGACGTTTCATGACCCAACTAGGGGACATCATCAGTGCTAGGAAGGAGGGTGGCTTGTTGAATGGAGGAGGAGAAGGGGAGGAAAAAGAAGAGAAGAAAAAAGGGGAGGACTGTGGGGGTGTCCTTGGTGGTCTCTAAGCTTGATGGTTTCCTTGCAGACGTTTCATGACCCAACTAGGGGACATCATCAGTGCTAGGAAGGAGGGTGGCTTGTTGAATGGAGGAGGAGAAGGGGAGGAAAAAGAAGAGAAGAAAAAAGGGGAGGACTGTGGGGGTGTCCTTGGTGGTCTCTAAGCTTGATGGTTTCCTTGCAGACGTTTCATGACCCAACTAGGGAACATCATCAGTGCTAGGAAGGAGGGTGGCTTGTTGAATGGAGGAGGAGAAGGGGAGGAAAAGGAAGAGAAGGAAAAAGGGG